CGCTTTCGCGTTGCCAGGAGCAATTGCGGCACAGGCGTGTTCGGTGTGTGTGCGGAAACCGTTTGGACGCACAGGTTACCGCATCGGGGGAAGTACACCAACTCCCCCCCGCCCTCTCTCCACCTCCAACTCGTGTTTATTGAGGGTTTTGGTTTCGAACCCGTCTTCGAAGAGGGAAATGAGAGACAGTAGGTTGTAGTATGGTCGGGGAACGTGTGCAACCCGTTTCAGCAGCAGGTCGGTTGTACCGTCGCGCGAGCTAAGGGTTACCGTCACGTCGCCATACCCTACGATAGGGAAGGTTTCTCCGGCGGCGACGCACACACGTCGATCACACTCTTCGTAACGAACGAACCTATCTGAGTTCGCGAACATATGGGTGGTAGCGCCGGTATCGGCAACATACCTACCCCGCTTAGCCTGCTCTACACCCCCTCGACCAACGACTTTGTGACACTCGCCTGAGATGCCACCGACCACCAGCGCCTCTTCTGCCACGTCCAGTGCTGTGGCGTCCGCTGACGCCTCCCCCGCCGGCACTTCCACCACGAGCACCGCCTTCTCGGTCGGGCACTTGCTCTTGTCGTGCCCGTAGCCCTTGCATGTCTCACATCGCACGGGCTTGCTCTCGGTGCAGTTGGCCACCTGGTGGCCCTCCTTGCCGCACCGAAAACAGCGACCGCGCATGCTACCCGCGTCGTCGTCGCCGCCTCCGCTGCCGTCACCAGCCTTCGCGCCACCCCCTCTCCCCTTCTGGTTGCCGCCGCCGCCGCCGCCGCCGCGACCCTTGCGGCGGCCGCTGTTGCCGCGGCCCGACGCTCCTCCCCCGCCGCTACCGGCGCTCGCGAGGAGAGAATGCTCCGCCCTACGCTGGCCCTTCGATACCTTCCTCCCCTCCGGGAGGCTCGCGTGCACCTTGCTCACGATCCTGACGATCTCGGCCCTATGCAGCGCCGTTGCTGTCTCCAACAGGAACTTCGCTTGTTGGTACTCGGGTGAGAGGGAACCAACGAAGTGGGCGAGAACGGAGGGTTGTTCAGCATTGAGCCCCTTTTCGCGCAGGCGGGCGTACAGCAGCTCGAGAGAGTAGAGGTGCTCGATGGGGTTGCTGTTGCTGTGTGTGGGGATTGCAAAGTCGAACATCTTCCGCATCAAGGCCTGTTTTGACCCCTGTGACTCCGGATCGAAGATCTTGTCCAATTCCGCGAGGACCTCTTTCGCTGACGTAAAGTTACTGATGATTGCTTTGTTAGCTTCTTTTACCACAGCAGTAGTGATAAAATGGAACGCCTGAAGCCCTCGTTGGAATTCTACTCTCGTGTGCCCCCTACGGAGCAGTTCGGAAGTCGGCGAGTTTAGGTCGCCCACGGGGATATTGCTCTCTGCATCTCCTATAAACAGCCGATCCAAGTCGATGGTCTTCGCAGCTTGGATGAACGATTTTCGCCACGAATCAAATCCGTGGCTAAGGCTTTTTTCGTCTAGAAGCGGGGCATTGACCGTCACTCTTTCTAGTGGCTACTGCTGTAGCCGTCGAGGTATCCTCACTTTCCTCGAATCACGGGTATCTCAACTGGGGGGTTTGACCCCCTCGCTTCCCCGTAGTCCGGTCCTATGCCCGGGCCCTTTTCGGCTGGTCTCGCAGGATTCGCTCCCGATCTGCTGGCCCAGCCGCCTTCCAGCAGCTGCCGTGGTCCTTGCCCACTATCTCTCGCTTGCTGCTGGAGAAATCCCCCGCCACCGCCGAGCGGCAGCGTTGGCTCATGGCTTTCGGGGGCAGCAACCCAGCCGCCCCTGCTCGCTGCATCCGCCACGACGCTGCCAGGCTCCTTCTTCTTCACCGAATCCTCCACCAGGGCCACCAATTGCGAAATCTGCAGTTGCAAACTTGCAAGCTTCGCACCGCGGCCCTCCTGCACCGGCGGGCGGATCTGTTCTCCGCTCGCGGCAGTGCGCTCTTCGTCTCCAGCAGAGCTCATCCCAATGTGACTTCCCTCGAGGGGCAAAAACAACTCTAGAGTGTTTGCGGCCTACGCCACTTGTTTATCGGGTGAGATTGTTTTGGTGATGTATTAACTTCACGAGAGGTCGACGACCGTCCTTCACACGGACGAAAGAGGGAGTGCTCACAGAGCGGCTCCCACAGTAAGAAGGGGCCCGTGAATCATCGCGGTGACCCCTACCAAACGTCAATCTCACCAGTCTGCGTGACCCCAAATCATCCAGCACATGTATCCAACAACAATGTTCGCAGACCCACGAGCATGCTTTTGTTTTGGTCCCGCCTATTCTGGAAGTCGATATATTCCCGTTTCGGAACGTAGGATGGGCGCGCCAGCCAGGGCCATGCAGAAGGAAAGCCACCACAGGAGTTTCTTCTTCCCCACGATCCTTGAGCGCTACATATTTATGGCGAGCAGCGATGAGCCGTTTAGTGGGTCTTTGATTTAGCCGTCGAAACTCGTGTACGCATGCCTTCGACAAGCGTTTATGATTCCTATCTTCCAAACCTATTTGGGCAAACTTTAATGTGAGGGCAATATCTCTTGGCGTGAAGTCCGCGCAGAGGTTCGAACTCACGTCCAACGGTTGAATATTGTCAGGTTGCGAGCGTAATCCCTCTCGGATGGCCAGGTCTCGCCCTCTCTTTCCTAATGTTGAGTGTTGTGCGGCCATTTTGTTCCGCTCATGAACGTTGTTCTTGGTGCGAGCGGCAACATTCACAAAGGCCGACCCACGCGCAAGTCGTCGCATGCACGGTATTTGCGCAAGGGTGCGCCGAAGCCGGCCCGCGGGTCGTGGCCAAGCTGATAGTGTCTGCGCGTTTCAATGTTTTGCGGGTGCTCGCCGCCATCACTGGTGTTTTACTTTGCAAGCTAGCCAGGGCACAATACTTCCCTGACTTCCGTGGCTCGTTGGTGCCGCCACTTGTTTGGCGATGCATATTCCGCCCCTGCGCCTTCGCCGGCCGCCTTGCCTTCTGCGGAACCTGCTCCGGAACCTTCTCCAGAGCCTTCTTCCGAGCCAACTCCGGAGCCTATTCCAGAGGCTTCTCCAGAGCCTACTGTGCCCACCGGTGAGAAATCTGTCGCTTCCTCGCGCGGTCGTCACCGTGGATTGAAGTATTGAGCTGGCGATATTGCTTGTGCCATTCCCACCCGTGGTAGCTTCGTGAGCGGTGGTAAGCTCTCTCACGGTTTCTTTGTTTCATCACAAAGTTGACGTTACGTGTTTTCGAACGAAGCTGTTTATACGAAGCAGACACAAACGCTGATACGCTCGATGCCCAGCAACTCCCCACCCCTCCCATCCCACATGCCGTAGCGTTAACAGCCGTTGTCTGCGTCCTGCGCGTCTTCTTTCGCTTCTTTCGTTGCAGGGTGTATTTCGGCGGGTGATGGCTTGTGCGACCAAGGTGTGTGACTGCCTTGAATTTCCGCCCGCAGGCACCAGAGAAGCAGGAGAATGCCTGGCGCGTGCTTTCTATGATGATTGTTGACACGAATTTTTTTTTGGCGCTTTCCTCGACGATTACTATCGTCGACCTTCACTGCTTATATATGAGTGCTTGGTTGGCTACTGTCCGTCGTCAACACAACGGGATTCGATCAGCACCATGTCACGCCCGGGAGTGACGGTATGGCGCAACTGTAAGCAGTTTGTACGGATGACTACCCACAAGTACATCATCGATTGAAACAATCTGCTGTTTCTCATGCCGACATCAACACCACGCTGTTGAGCAGTATGGACGAAAGGCCGTCGCGTCGCCGGTTTATCTGATCGAAAGTAGCAGTACCACTTGCCGTTGGGACCGCCTTGGTCCGTGGCGCTCAGGAGCCACCCGATCTAGGCGCGTTGCTGCGGCACAGACGAATGAGGAATTCCACTGGGAGAGCCCTCTAGTAATTATGCCCTCCTTATCCCCTGCTGTCGTTATCCTTTGTCACAGCGAACAACAACGAGGAGTGCAACTGGGATGGAGGAGAGTGAGTTCGGCGTTGCAAGTGTTCAACGAAGCGTGGCACAAAGGGTGTTTCCACATACTTACGGTCTTTTCCGTTGTTTTCGGCGATGACGCTTCAAGGCGTTGTGATGAAGACTCCGCAGAACCGACGATGACGTGTGCAAACTGTCGCCGTAGCGCCGTTTGCGGAAACTCAACCACGATTTGAAGCAGAAACGATTTCCTGCTCATGCATAGGTGTCCGATCCACTGTGATATTTCCACTCGTATTCCGCGTGCGGTGCTTTCTCCCTGCTGTACAGCTGCTGCGAATGTGACTGCTCAGCACCTTCTATTGGGGAGGGGCTGTGTGGGAGCAATGGTTACGACTGCATCAACCCAGATTCATCATGCAGATCTAATGAAGGTACGCAAGAGTCTCACTGCACTTGCCGCAAGGGGGCAGTACGTGTCGGAACGCATTAGCCTACTAGACTGTGAGACCCATTCGGTGCGAAATACGTCCATCTTAGAAGTTTTCAAGCTCGGCCGTATGTGCAGTAGGTCGACTACCCCAAACTATGGCTTGTACTCGTCTGTTTTCGCTTGTGTGGCCAGCGACTACACATTGGGTTTGGCCTTTCTGCCGGCACATAGCCTCGTGCTGCGGTGTTTTCCAGACACGAACTTTCAAAATCAAAACGATTCGTTAACCCAACACGACGGCCGATCTCTTGACTGTCTGGGGTCTCCGCCATCTGACGTTGTGAAGTTTTGATGTGACAACCCGTTCTTCCCGTTGCATCGTTTCCCGATCTTCTCGGCGATAACACAACCGCAACATGGGTTGCTGTGGGACTTTCCCGGTCGTCCCTGGTGCCACCGATTTCGACATTAGGCGATGATGGAGGTAGGTTTCTCGTTCCTTTCTCGACGCTCGGTTTCAAGCCATAGAACGGCCCTGGGCCGCAGTGATGATGGGTACGAATAAGCATACTCCTTTCGAATTTTCAAGCGCCGTGGTAGCCAATCAATGCGTTCGCCGTCTGGAGGAAATCATGCCCTGGGTTGCTTCTTGTGCGTGTTTATGCGCTTTTGCTTTCAATTTGTACGGTTAGGGTCTTCCAGTCGGCCCTGCCCTCGCTGGTCATAGTCATGCTGCTAACAGAAGCAGCTAGCATCGTTAATGAGTAGCCCGCCGAGGGCGTTGTTGTTGTCATGCAAACAAGCGGGCAGATGTTACTGTACAAGTTCGAGAAAGTATGCATGTGATGTGTTACACTCACGCACTTTTCTCGACCTCGGAAAGAGGACGGAGCGCCCCAACGAGTATCATGAAACGCGCGACAAAACGAACACACGTTGGATACCTCAAACTTCGACTATTGCACCGTTTGGTCTAGAACTAGATATTTCCGAAATCGCTATTGCTGAGCGTTTACTGGGTGCATGTTGAGATCAAACCCGATCTGAAGCAAGCAAACACCTAACCAATCCTGTGAAGCCTCCTTCAATCACGGAGAGCTCGGTTCCGTCCTCTTCTCACCCCGTTCAACAAACCTCCCCTCGATTGGCACTCTGCCCTTGCATGACAACCGAGCAGTTCCAGTGGGCGCTATCGTCGGTGGTGCCATGGGGGGGACGGTGTTGTTAGCTGGTGCGGCTGCGGTGGCGTTCTCGCTCGCCACGGGTCGCCTGAAGTGCGGCAAGGGCCGCAGTTCCTCAACCTCTACCGCCGTTCCTGCCGCTCCGAGCGGTGCCCCGGCGGCGGTCACAGGATCCCGTGGGTCTGCGGCCTTCTCCTCTGCTACCGCTGCTGCTCCTTCCGCTCCCGCTGGTGCTCCTCCTGCTGCTTCCGGTGGTTTGGCACTCGATCCGATGCTGACTGTGCAAGAGGTTCCCGTCGCCAGAGCCACTCCTCCTCCGCCTTACGGCGAACCAAACCCTCCTTACAAGGAGTGAAGTGAGTGAAGTTTTCAATTTCTGCGTTAGAGCATGGCAACTACGGCGTAAGTTCCATTGGGCCGACAGGCCGCTGAGTGCCGGAGCAGGTGCGGAGTGCGAAAGGAGCGCGTCGCTAGCGTATGGGTTGTGCTTGACGAGACAATGCACAATATCTACACAGTGTACATATGTTTGTGCGTGATAATCTCGCTCAATAGGTGCGGAGACTACACTGGTGGCAATAGTACCGCCTTGTAGAGGCACATTGCCCAACCTCCAAAAAATAAAACTTGGGCACCGATCGCAACCTGCTGATCTTGGGTAATTCTTGCAATGATGAGGTGGCCAGGTTGGGCAACCTGGACCTTTCTTGGAGGTTGGGGCGTAGTCTACAAGCCGGTTGGTGGGTAGGTTTGGGGTGGTGCGCAAGGTGTGCCTTTTTTTGGAGGTTGGCGGACTGTCTACAACCTGGTACGCGACAGGTTGCCGATGCTGGTGCAAGGTGTACCTTTCTGTGGAGGTTGGCGCACTGCAGTGTGTAAGTCGGTTGCCTAGGTTTTCGGAGGCAACAGCAACATTGCTGCTTAGCAACAACAACGTGGGTTCAATACCCCCTCATGACCTTTTTTTCCCCTCTCCCTTTTTTTCCCAGGATTTTTTCCATGAGGGTATCGTAACAGCAGTCCCATTGCTGCTCAATAACAACATGGGTTCAATACCCCATCATGGCCTTTTTTTTTCCTCCCTCTTTTTCCAGTTTTTTTTTCAATGGGGGTATCGGAACAGTATCGCGACTCATCATCTCGAGGCCGTCGTCGATAACTCTGGAGTTGCATGAACCCTAAGCGAGAACCAATAATTAATTTGAACATATCCAAGTATCCTTCCTTTTCAACTGCCACCAGCTACGTCGATCATGGAGATGATCCGTGCATGCAACACGACATGATCGTTGCTTTAGGGTCAGGGAAAGACGACTCAATCGGGGATAACAGCTACACGTACCGACGGCGCGTTTTCCCAACGTACACGCACTCGTAGAAACGACTGCCTTCTCCTGACACGAAACAACGCATTCCCTCTCCCGCCGCCCCGAAAGCCCCAGCAGTGTCCAATGTAGTCTATGGTTCATGTCCTTATTGAAGTTTCCCCTGCACAATACCACCATTGATTTTTGACGACGGAGGGACGACGAAGCCGGAGAGAACAGTTACACGTTGCGACAGCGGGCTCCCCCCAAAACACTTGTCCAAGCGACCGATATCAGAAAATAAAATACCCCCTCTCTCGCCGCCCCAGAAGCCACAGTTAGTTCTAGACACGAAAAAATGTCACTGCCCGAGAACAAAGTAAGACATACTGCAGGGACTGCTGTAGAGAGAGACCTCTCTACCCTCCAAACACCACAAAAAAACACCTCCAAGATGACCTTCCCCACGAGGGACAAGAAAGAAGCATTACCGCAAAGACTGAAGGCAAGAGGCCGCCGCAGCGACAGATTCCAGACGCACTTGCAGACACGGTAGGAAACTCTGCCAGAGAGCGTTCAAGCACTTTTCAGCATTCTTCATTCAAACGCAAACATGAGCCATTGCGAGCGGGGAGGAAGTTTTTCCGCCTTCTCCTTCAACAGTCCGGCCCGTTGGGGAAGAGAGAACCGGGAAAACGCGTCCAACGGCGATGAAGCGGAGATCCCGGCAAGTGCGCCTGGGGGTTGGCGAGCAGCAGCGAAAAAATAGAAAAGTAAGAGAGGAGAGTAAACGTGCGCCGTCGAGGAATGGGGGTGCAGATACGTAAAGCGAAAGATTGACTGACGAAGTAAGGGAAATCTGCGTTTTGTGAGAAGCGGCAGAAATAAACCTTGGCCGATCAGAAAGCAGGAAGCGGACGAGCGTGTTGGTTTCTGTTTTCAGTCTACTCGCTTCGCCGTGTTTACCGGGGGCGAGCGAGAGCACGTGTGCGTGTGGTGGCCAAGGGTTGTTTTCTGCCGTGACGTTTCTTTTTGGCACGTGACGTTTCGTGGCGTGACGTATTGGACTGGAGAAGTTTCGCGTCTGCGTTTCCCCTGTGTTCGGGGCGACATGGATTCGCATCCAAATCTCGGAAAAGGGCCTGCCGACGGGATCCGTACGTCGGTGGATGCCTCGATCGCCGACGGCGGCGGCAGCAGCGGTGGTGGCGGTGTCCCTCCCTCCGCCACTGTGGCGGGCGCGGCTGCCGCAATGGCATTGGCAGCCCAGCAGGACCAGCAGAACCCGCCGCCGCAGCAACAGCAGCCGCCGCAGCAGCAGCCGCAACAGCAGCGGCAGCAGCAGCAGCAGACGAAGCAACTTCAACGTCAGCAGCAAGAAGCGGCAGCTGGGGCCGCAGCCGCGGCGGGGTCGGCGGTCGGCGGGGATGAGGCACGGCTGGCCGACGGCATGGCTGGTTTATCCGTGGAGGGCCTCGGTGGGTCGTCTGCGGTGGCCGGGGGGAACAACCTGGGTGCCGGTGCGGCGTCGGGGGCGCCGGGTGCGTTGCAGCTTGTGATGTTGCAGCAAGATAACGAGAATCTCGTTGCGAAAGTATCGGCTTTGGAGCAATCCCTGCAGCAGTTGCTGAACAACCAAGGTGGGGGCGCGGGTTCGCACGTGGTCGGCCCGCATGCTGCTGATGGCGCGGGAGCCGAGGTGGCGGTCGGTGCGGGTCTTGTTGCAGCTGCTGCTCCGGGGTCGGACGCTGATCGCCAGCGTCGCTTCGCAAAAGCGGAATTCGAGAGTACTGCTTCCGCTTGGCGTGCGGGACGTTTGATGTGGGCGCTGCGTGGTAAGCGGGGAATTGACGTTCCCAACAAAGAGACCCTGCAATCGATGATGGGGGGGACCGTTACCGGCACCGACAGGACCTTGCAGCAGCTTCGGACCATGTCCGGACTGATCGTCCTCGACTTCTTTCCCGTTGGCAATTCTGGTGAGCTGTCAGTCCCGGACCACTTCGATTTGACCTGTGCTGCGATCGTTAACGTGTTGAAATTTGGTCTCTCTGCCACCTCCGCGGACAACGCTGCAGCTCTGGCGCGTTTGCTGCCCATAGAGCAGGCCATGCTTTCGGCGCGGGGTACGCTGCGCATGCAAGCCCTCCGTCATATGGGCGACTTTCAGGGGAGGGGGTCGCGGGGGACCTTCGCCGACCTCCCCAACGATGACTTTCGTGAATGGGCAAGTGCGGTAATGTTGTGGATGTTACCGATGCAGAATTTGCCGGTGCCGCCGGAGTCTTTCGAGCGCTTTGGCTTTGGTGGTTCCTCGGTTCGATGGCATCAACGGCTTCTCCATGTCCGGGAGCATTGCGCTACGGATGTTCGGGACTGTGGGTGGTGGAGGTTCTTCTGGATCGAGTGGGGGTAAGCAAAGGCGGGGGGACTCCCGCTCCGCGGGTGGGGACTCCAAACGCCGGTCGAAAGTGTGTTTCGAATATCGCGACTCCCAAACATGCGGGTGGGGCGACTCCTGCGCGTTCCGCCATGCGACTGGGGGCGGCAAGGGTGGCGGCTGTGGGGGCCGCGCTTCGGGTGGAGGGGGAGCCTCGGGCGCCGCGGCCGATGGCGGAAGCGGCTCGTCGGCGCTGGTCGTTCGCCGGGGAGATGGCAGCAACTGAGGACACGGGCTCTGCCTTTCGGCGGGGCCAACTCCACAGTCGT